TTTTCGAAACTCTTTTTTGTGCTTCAAAGAACAAAATGGGCTTTGCAAGTTAAGGGAAGGGGAAAAAAAAAAATCATAAATTAGGTATTCTCTCTCACTAAATCAATTTTCAGGCCTTAAATTTAAAAATTACAAAAATCACAAAAATCGGGTATTTATTAATTAATTAAATATATTTTATTAATTAAATATATTAAAATTAAAATTACATATTTCATGGTCACATATGCATATTTATAGGTCACATTTTATGAAATTAATTGATTACATATTATTTTTCGATCACAAATTAAAAAATTTATAAGTCGCAGATGTTTTTACGATCACAGCTTAGCATTTTCATAGGTCACAAGTGTCAAATCACAAATATTATGAGTCACAACTTATTAGTCAGTCACAAATTATCAAATTTTTTAGGTTGCGTAATTTCATGGTAAAAAATTATCTTTTTCATTTACATATTATTTATTGGTCGCGGATTAATCAATTTAATGGTCACAGTCGACCAAATAATTGATGACTACCACCAATATTTGCGACTTCTGACGGCACCACCATCACCATCGTGCCAGAACCACCACCACTGTCGCCAAACCACCACAATCGTCGTCGCCACCACAACAGTGCCACCAGCAACAAAATCGTTATCACCAGATCCAACAAAATAAAAATCTCAAACCCGCCACCACCTACATCACACCACCGCCGCCACTAGATCACACCAACTAAGAGACATCACACCACCCTAACCGTCATATCTGCCACCATAAAATCACCACCACACAAGACACCACCACACAAGACACCATCAAGATCTGGTTGCGATGCTTTACAAATACTGTTGCTTCTTCGCGCCGCATCGAACACAAGCCATTTCACTAGGGATGGCAACGGGGCAAGAGGCCCGCCCCGCTAAGAAATTCTCCCCCCCGTTACCGCCTCATTACCCGTTTAAGGCGGATCGGGGCGAGGTCCTTGCCTCGTTTACTACCCTTTTAAATTTTTTTTTAGTTTTTGATAATTTATTTTTATTGCTTATATTCATTAGATTTAGACAAATAATTTTAGTTGCTATATTCTATTAGAACTAATGAAATTTTGTGACATTTTTTATTTAAAGTATTGAATTCTAAAAAACAAATAAAAAAAATTTTAACGGGGCGGGGCGCCCGTCCTCGCCCCAAATACCCCCCCGAATACTCGATTAAGCGGGTTATCCCCGCCCCGTTCGGGGCTGGGCCCCGCGGGTATCGGGTTTGTTGAGTTTTTTTGTCATCCCTACATTTCACATCCGCAAATCGCGACGATTCGGGCTCCTTCTGGCCGGCGAAGCTACGATTGCGTGTGTTTAGAGAGAGAAGTGGGTCGCTGATGGGAAAGAGAGAGGGGACAGTGAGATGTGAGGTTTTGGAAGAATACGAGAGGCGAGGGAGCAAGATGAACGGTAGCGTCGTCACTGCGCCGACTCGTCGCAACGGCCATTCACAGAGGCAGGGGAAGGGAGGGAGTAGTGTGTGTTAAAATTAGGGTTATTAATTAGGGATTTAACATATATTACCTGATTTTTGAATAAATAAACTTTAGACCTTATTTTTGAAAATCAATTTTTAAACACCTTATTTGTGTAATTTTCCCTCAAGGTAACTCATTAAAAAATGGGCTTTGCAAGTTAATGGAACTCATTAAAGATGCATTGTTTATTGGGGAAAATTTCATAATTAGGAGGTT